TGTGACTCCCTCCCGATTCAAAAAGACAGACGCGTCCTCAGGTGCCCGCTCTTTCCGCGTGCGCCTCCGTACCTCTGCACTTCCGCAGCTCCTAAGTCTCAGTGTGCTTTCCTCTTTCCTTCTAGTTGTAGAATTTCCACCCAGCCAGCCTTCCTGTAGTTCTGGATGATGTCCGTTTTGTCTTTTCGTTGTATTTTTGAAGTTTTTGTGGGAGGCAGCAATTTCCGGTGTTTACCTATGCCACCATCTTGTTTTCTCTAAATAAAAACATTTTAAATAATAAAAGAAAATGGGACCTCTAGTCACACCCTCCCCATCATTCTGTTTCATGTTTCTTCAAAGCATTTACTACTCGGACATTATACTACATTATAGTTTTCTGTCCTAAATGTAAATTCTAAGAAAGCATGAAATTTGGTCTGTTCATGAATAAATCGCCAGAACCCAGACTAGTATTTGGCAAATAGTAGGCATTCAAATAGATGTTGAATGAAGAACAGATGAATAAACTAAGGTCCCATTATAAACTGTCCATCATTCTTCTCCCCTCAAAGATTATTTGATGGGAGAAATGGAAATATATGATTGACTAGTTTAATCTCTATTATTGCTGTGTAATTTTTACACCAGTTATGGCCAAGGTGGCAGTACCACAGGTCACGCTAAGGAACTGCTTAGGGCTACTTTCTAGCAGGTATTTAATAAGCTTCAAAATGATATTTCTGTGTATAGTGGGCATGCACTCACTGTAATATTAGGTCTAACTAATGAAGTTGGACTACTTTCAGAATATGGTGAGAGTTTCTTGGCCACACACTAAAACCAAGTCATTTTTTCAAAATTCACATTAAATTTACCATCCCTTAATATCAGCCCTTAACTGGCTTCTAGAGCAGATCTCAGCTGCCACTAAGTAAATGCATATATTGAGTTCCATGTATTTTTCAAAGTTCACTCTTCAATTATATTTGAAAGAATTAATACAGAAATGGGATCTGTCCAGAACTAAGTTGACTTAAGTAGAATCAATATTCTAAGTGTAAGGTGCATTCTAGGGCAACCTCCTCCCACTCCTTTCCAAAAATGTTGTAGCTGACTAGCTATTTCAGTGTCTCACAACACAAGATTTTCCTGTCCTCAGGAAGGAAGAATCCTACTGGCTGGTGTGCAAGCAGTACAACACTTAGTGGCTCTCCTGCAGGCGGGAACAAAGCCCCTGAGCAGCGAGCAAACCCAGGTCTGAGCAACACACTGCAGGCCCACGCAAGGCAGGCTGCATGCTTCAGTCACTGGAGGCACTAGCACCAATTGAGAAAACCATAATTTTACTCTCTTCTCACTCATGGTATACTGCCAAAGGGAAATTCTTCTATGATTTTGCAATTGAGATTGCACACTGAACAGACAGGTAATGGGTAAGAGCACTGGTTATCTTCCTAAAACTAAGGCGGGAGAGTGGGGAGGGGGGTATGTTAGATAACAAAAGAGCTCCCAAAAGAAAATATCTAACTGGGAAATTCCCCCATTTTTACACTCTGACTGGGATTTTTCTCACTGAATCCTATTGCAACCATAAAGCTAGAGGGCCATGTTACTTCCCTTCCTTTCCATTCAAGTTCAATAAAAGGACCCATTAACAAATCTCTTCCTTTGCTCCCTTTAACACAGATTTGAGAAGCAGGACTTCTCAAAAGAGATGTTATTAAAATACCAAAGGGAAAGAAAAGGAAATAAGGAAAACTACAACATAACAAGGTTGCAACACAAATCTATATAATGGCTAACCTTAAAATTTAAGCAACTGACCTCATAAGCTATCTTACTATAATCCTCACAACAAATAAAATACTAATAAGTATTAAGATTTAAGAAGCTGATTATTAAAACAAAATGAAGTAAAGCCAACAGGCAAGAAGAAACAAAATTCTCTACTTATACACCAAATTACTGCCATCATACTTTTCTTAATGCCGTGTTTTCTAATTTAGTAATTCTTTAATTTAAATTTGCATAAGAATTAATGTTCTTGAGTGTGTGTGTGAGTGTGTGTGTGTGTGTGTATGTGTGTACACAAAAGATTTCATAGTGTCTTTTATGAGTTAAGGAATTCTCAAGATGATTCTGGCTTTTGTTTTACATACTGACCTTAACTCTAGTATACACCAGATTCCATTCTTCTAACAATTCACAAAACTTGCATAGTCAAAATCACCCCTGAAAATTCCTTAAATCGTAACACATGATCACATTCAGTACAATAACATTTAAGTCTGCCCCAAATATGAAATGCTCACCCTATGGGAGACAATGCAGGAACTAATACAATAGAGTGAATAGTAGGTTTCTGTCTCCAGGGGCCTAAACTCACTGTAATGGGCAGATTTGTCAGTGCCACTAAAATTGTCATCTGTCTGCAAGACCTGCATAGCTGGAGACTAAAGCTAAACTTTTACATGGAAAAAATGTTACTACCATAAGTATTCAAATAATGAAGCTTCAAGAAAGAGGTTAGAATCTTATAAAAATTAACTCATCTGACTCAATCTTTATTAAAGAGCCTATGTGAGGGCTGAATAATGGCCCTCTACATTTGAGACTCCTCCTCCTCCTCCTCTTTCCTTCTGTGCACTAATCTCTTCTGAAGAGGTGAGGATCTACTCCCACAGATCCTTCATAAAAAAAAAAAAAAGTAGAGAACAAATCCTTTAAGTATCAGTAAAATCAGCCTGTTTCTTTAGAGTTACTCATGAGAGCAGAAAATAAATTATTCCAGCCAAGATATTACCTCGATGTCCAGGCTACCACCGGTTCCTTCTGCTCTATCACCAATCATACCTAATCTGCCCTCTCTTCTAGAGGAAGCTGACCCTGACAAAGGGGGTGGGGAGGAGATGGCCTGGTTTGTACTTCTGCAATTGGACTTTGTAAGATTTATCCATAAACAGGTTTAATTGAGCTTACTTTAGTAAAATAAGCCTACTTACTTATTACATCCCAACCATATAAGACAGGTGTCCTTTCACAATTTCTATATTTTGAGCAGAATGCATTCAGTTAAAACAATGGCTGCCACAGAAAATCACTAAGCCTTAGAACTGGTTTCCGAGGCTTCAGACATTCGCTTTAGGCAGTGTCAACAATACAGTGACATGCTTTGGACACCTTTTAAACAACAATGATAACAAACCCAATATGGGTATGGTATTTATCATTAACATCTCAGTTCATATCCAAGACTCTAAAATACTTTGTACTCAAAATGGCAAAAATCTCAAGATATTAGAAAGCTGGCTCTGGGCTTCTCAGCTAGAGCTAGATTATTCATGGTAGTGGCTAAATGCAATGCCAATTTTCTCCATGACACTCTATTCAATAAAAACAGGGAACCTAATTTGTAAGAATACTAGTGGCCCAGTGCATGGATTTGTGCACACTGAAAGGAAATTAATTAGAAGAAATATTTTAATATCTCTATTTGCCCTTTCTCTATAATAGAAGTGTCAGAGATTAAAGAAAATTAGTAAAACATACATGAAAGTAATATATAAATTAATAAATAACAACATGATATAACAACAGACATGATAGAAAACAACAAAAACATGATATAAAAACATTGATAAAAACAATGACTAGTAAATTGATTAAACTTGTTCTAATATCTCCCTGTACACCACATTGAGTAAAAACACTTTCAAAGTGCTTGACTAATTTCCCTTGTGATGAAGTATTTACAACTTTTTTTAAAAAATATATTTTATTGATTTTTTACAGAGAGGAAGGGAGAAACACCTACTTTCAATTTTAATTTATGACACGGCATTCCCAAAAGAGTAACACTATTAAGAAATTCAATGGGAAAATTTTCCTTTTCGGCATCATCCGTTGAATGGATTGATTCATCACTCAAATGGTACACTGTGACAATAGTTGATCTTCAGATACATTCTGTTGACAACACCAGCTTCTTTCAGCTTCAGAGGTACGTTGTGCCAATAGTTGGTCTTCAGACATATTCTGTCGATGATGCTGCTTTCTTTCAGCTTATCAATGTCAACAAAAACAACCAAATTCACAATAGACAATGACAGATCAAAACACTTGTGTGCAATTGGGCGCCAGTGAGAGCTTTATATATATCGCACATGCGTGAGTCAACGTTTATTTTTAAATTGCCAGTGTGCATCATTTGTACCGACTGGTTGGTCGGTCATACATATGGTTGGTCACTTAGCCTTTTATATATAGATACTATTTCCCAAGGTACTCAAAAGATATTTTCATTTTAAAGCTAAGAAAAATTCCTACTTCTAAATTCCTACACGTTTTTAATGAGTTCTTATGTAAGAAGAAATACCTACATAGCTTTAAGGGCAAGTACCTTTGATTAACTCTTACGCTATCCAGAAAATTGATCACATAATCTTTCTTCTTAGAGAATGACATTTTCAAATAATAACTTTTGCCAAGCCTTTTAGTAATAAGATTCTCAGGCTCACAAGAGAAGAAAATGTTGATCACATTCAACCACCACCAGAGATACTTCTAAAACCACAATTAGGAATAGCAAATGAGAAGTGTCCCAGATACATCTCACAGGGAATTTTATCTGTATTAGTTAATTCCACATATAATTACCACGGTTTATCTTGCTGGCACTGTAATTACGATCAGAATTTTTAAAAAGTGCTAGGTATGTATTAGAAGAAAATGTTGCCATGACAAACAGCTTTCTGTAATTAAATGTGCCTGCTTCCAGCAGGAAAAAAAAAAATCACCACATTTCAGAGTACATTATACCATGTTTCAGAATCTGAAAGCTCAGCAGGATGGAAGACAGCACTTCCATTTATTGTGGTACCTAGATGTGACAAATCTGAGTTGAAGACATGCAACAGTAGTAAAAAGGGTTAGCTGTTCAGCTACAGAACCATACAGCCATCACCCAGGATGAGCTTCAGTCTTAAGCTCTAGCTCACCTTCAGTCACCTTCACTGAAGAAGACCTGTGCTTGGACCATACAAATCTGTTTTCAATACCAACACAGGAGAAGCAACCAGGGCCAATATTTTTCCCTGCATAAGTCCATAGAAGACACTAAGTGCTTCTCCTCTAATCCTCTGTCCCCTCACCTCAACCGCCCTGCCCCCGAAAAAAAGAGTGAATTTCTGGAAAAGCTTAATAACCTCTGTACAGAAAAGCTCATGAAATCACTTAGAAGATGATTTAACCATAACATGGGTATCCAACATGCCAACTGGCAGAAGTAAATAAGACTTCCTCCCCAGTTTGGATTTTTTTAATTCATGAATGTCAACAGTACTAATTCCCTTAAATGTATTTATTTGTTTCTCAAGGGGCTTTTACCAATTTTAAACTATAGCAGAGTGAGTAGTTTGAAAGGGGGGAAAAAAATCCATGGATAATTTCACATGACTTAATGCAACAAATGACACAGAGAAAGGCGGCCTCAAATATATGCTGGAACCACACAGCACAAGGACAAATGTCCCAACTGCAGTGTTAAGTACCCCGAGAAACAACCAATGATTATGATACCCCTGAGGCATGAAGAAATTAAACAATAGTGCACTCCATGTTACAAAGCAGAACCTGACTAAGACACTTTCATAAAGAAGCTAATCAAAGTTATGTTTTTTAAATGTTAGTATATTGTGGAGATAAAATAACTTATAAGGTGACATGAGAGGAATAAATTTACTCATGGTCATGAAAAGATGACATTGTAATTAAAATGACAGCAATGGGTTCAAGTCAGTAAGCAGTACTGATTATTTGTTTCAACAGCTGGGAAGGTACAACATCAAGTTTGAAAACTTTGAAAACTTTGAAGGACTGTTCCCATCAACATAGTGAAAAAGGAAAAAGACTGCAGAGCCAAGAAAGTAATATCACAGCCATGGAGAAATTAAGTATCCCTTTTAATTAGTTTTTAAATCATTTCTTTTACTTTATTTCCATTTTGTTTCCTTAAGAAATGTAGATAATGACCACATTTCCACTTTTACACCTCCGCTACCAAATCCTTAAACAAGAAAATACAAGGGACTTTATGAAAAGAAAGTGTTATCTAGCCTAGCCTATCTAATAAAGAGGGAATATGCAAATTGACCGTCACACCATCACAAAGATGATGGTGCCCACAGCGGAGGCAGGGTTTCCGTAACACAAGATGGCTGCACCCACTGTGGAGGTTGAGTTCCCATAATGAGCCTTAACGAGCAATCAGGAGGGATCTGAGGCTGCATGGCGCTGGGCCAGGGCAGTGGACCTGAGGCTGCGCCCCTCACCAGGTGGGGCTTGACAGAGGACCTGAGGCTGTGCCCTCCGCCCCGCGGGGCTTGAGAGTGGACCTCAGACCGCGGCCTCTGCCCAGTGGGGCTTAATGGGAGAATCTCAGGCCACATCCCCCACCCAGCGGGGCTGGATGGGGGACCTCAAGGTGCGCCCCCACCCCAGCGCAGGCCGGAACCTCAGGCCATGCATCCCGCCAAGCAGGGCTTGACAGGGGATCTCAAAAAGCGCTCCCTGCCCTGGCACTGGGCCGAGGGACCTCAGGCCATGCCCCCCGCCCTGGTGCCGGACCATGGACCTGAGGGTGCACTGGGGGATCTGAGGCTGCACACCCTGCCTGGCATGCACTGGGGGACATGAGGCTGTGCCCCAACCCTGCGGGGCTTGATGGGGGACCTGAAGCTGCGCCCCTCACCTGCCTGGCAGGGCTTGATATGGGTGGGGCTGGCCGGGTTTGGATCTTGCCCCATGGCGGTGGGGCCGGCTGGGTCTGGGTCTCGCGCGATTTTGAGGTGCCGTGGGTGGGCAGGGCCTTGACTCTGGGTCCCGCGTTGCACCCGAGACTCTGACAGGAGGAAGATTTTCATATACATTTTACTAATTTTCTTTCATCGCTGATACTTCTATTATAGAGAAAGGGCAAATACCAATATTAAAATACTTCCTCTAATTAATCCCCTTTTAATGTGCACAAATTTCATGCACCAGGCCACTAGTACTATTAATATCTGTGTATATTTTATATCAGTAACATGCCTTTTTTAAGTAATATACCATATTTTCAAGCTGATGGAAGTAATTCATAGTTATCACTATGTGTACTGAATATAAACATATAAAAATACGAATACATATACAGACACACTGCCTGAATAATTAATGTTAAGTGCAGTTTCTCTGGATAAATCAATTTTTACAGAAAGTTGAAGGTTATTATTCTAAGACTAGAGGCCCGGTGCACAAAGTTCATGCACTCAGGGGGTGTCCCTCAGCCTGGCCTGCATCCTCTCACAGTCGGGAGCCCTTGGGTGAGCGGGCCTAAACCGGCAGTCAAACATCCTTAGCGCTGCCATGGAGGCGGGAGAGGCTCCCACCACTGCCACTGCACTTGCCAGCCATGAGCCAAGCTTCTAGCTGAGCAGAGCTCCCCTGTGGGAGCACACTGACCACCAGGGGGGCAGCTCCTGCTTTGAGCATCTGCCCCCTGGTGGTCAGTGCGCATCATAGTGAGCTGTTTTTCCACTGTTTGGTCTATTTGCATATTAGCTTTTTATTATATAGAAATTATCTGTTAAAGAGTTAAAATGACTGACTGCTCTGGTTTGCCAAAAACACTTCTTTATATCAAAAGTCTTTTAAAAAGCAACTGCCATAGACAATCACTGTTTGGAGTTTACTGCCTTTAGGATATGAAAGTATCCAACCAGTTAAAATCATTATTAAAAATGGTTCTGACACTTCAGGAAATTACGGTTTTTCTCTTGGTCAAAAGAACAAAGCAACCCTTGATATCCCAAAGAGACCAGGTTCCCTCTGCGGAGCACAGACACCACCTCCCCAGGAGACGCCGTGGGCTAGAGAAAGGGGAGCTTTGAAGCAGGTCTGAGCAAGCCCTACATTTTTCCCTCCACTTGTTTAATCCTGCAAAGCTTACTCAACCCATTTGATCCTTCAGTTTCTTCACCTGTAAAATGGAGATTTCTGTATTTGTCTTCTAGGATCTTGTGAGAATCAATGACTATATATTAAATGAGAAACTG